TCCCATGAATAACCATGACTTTTTAATAGCCTAATGGATTAATTCCCATGACTCTGCCAAAGAAATACCAATTTTATCACTGCCTGACATTCCCAGGTTGTCCATTGCATTTCCATTACTGATATAAATAAAATCAAGCATGTATGAGCAGATAGATGCACCAGAGGCAGTTAAGACAGAAGTTGGTGATCTAACAAAGGGGCTGTATAAATAATCAAACAAGATGGTGGAGAAAAGGGTGCCAGAACAAAGACCCTGCACTAATATTTGACTCAGGGTTGATTTCCCAATTCCTGACACATGGACAGGAGATGAGACGTGCAGCAGCATCCGTGTGATATGCATACATTTCGGCAGTGGCTGTGCATCAATTCATGTTCACAAACAAGTCTTGAGACTCACCACTGTGTCCTGACTCCTGGTTGGCCATGGTGGGCTCCAGGTCCACTTTGTTCTCGCATCGTCCGAATCCCTGTATCAGCTGCTCCAGCGGTAACTCTGAATTCGCGCTTGGGTAACACCTCAAACCGCTGCCACATCTCGGCGTGTAGACTCCGCACAGCTCGCCCTTCTGCCGGGCACAAACCGGGCAGCAACCGCAACCCGGTTCCCTGACAATCTCGCAAGATGTGGTGAGCTTGGGACACGCCGCCTGGCGCTCCGCGGTGCAGCTCGGGCAGCGGAACACGACCTCCCCGAAAGAGCCGTGCAGGAGCAACAAACTGCAGAGCAATGCAGGAAACATGCCGTTATCTTTAAGTCTGACAGATGTCGGGATTCTGCAGGCGACTTCAGGTGGAAAAGTAAAAGTGCGTTTGGGGACAGGTGAGGTTCGCCGGAGAGCTCTGCTGGGTCCTATTTGCTGTCATGTTACTCCGAAATTACATCACGTCAAAAGCTAGTCAAAGTCAAAAAAACAGATAAATAAGTCGAAAAGGTGCGACTGTTGGCTATTTCATCTGCGAGAGATACGCTGCCTGTTTTGGAAAAATAACATGTTTGTTAGCTTGTGTGTTTGTTATGGTTGCCAGTACTGTTATGTTTCTTAAGTTTAAATTAATATAGTAACAGTTTCAAAAAAAAAATAAAAAAATTTAAATTACGTTTATTTTTATAATAATAATAAAAGCAATTATTATCCATTGACTTGACTGCGATTTTCTATCAGTTTTCGGCGCGAACAATAGTTTCTCTCGCGCTATTGACCTTATGTAGCTCCGCTCTTTGTCTTCTGTCTTCCGTTTTTATTTCCACAGCTTTAAAGGTATGGAATTACTTTTATGCCAATACATTTTTTTTTCAAGAAACTTATGAAAATATAAATTGAAACTGAATAAAATGTCTTTGAAACCAGAAAAAAAAAATCGCAGGCAAAATCTTTGACTTCGTTTTTAATACACTCCATGTTTTGCTTACTGTTTTCTTTCGCTGGTCTGTACTTACAAATGGGCTTTCAGAGGTTTCATTTACACTTCTGAAGTTTTCATTTATGCTTCTGAAATTAAGGTTGTACGAATTACGAATGAAGCAAAAATCTTTCCGGGCTACTGACATTTGTTATGACTTACACTTCTAACATTACATTGCTCATAATAACTTTCGTTAACTCTACAATAAGCAAATCTACTTCACCAGCTAATAACTCTTTAACAGCGATGAGCTACCGCAAAAATGGAAGTTCAAAGACAAAATTATAAAGATGGTTTCGCGCTTGTGTCTCTGACATACGGTCCATAGAAATTGTATTTTAGGGCTTAGTGCACCGTCAGCTAACGTTACATATGATTAAACAAAAAACCTAATGACATTTTGTGATTTTGATGACATAGTAGCACAAACACCAGGTATGTTTTTGTGCCAATTTTCATAAGATGTAAGCGGTTTCTAATGTGTCTATATATAGGCCTATGTGTCACAGCACTCTGCATGTGATGTGCGCAAATAATTTTTGAATCCGACTGAGAAAATTGTTCGAAAATTGTTTGTTTTCACCGTTCCCGCCTTAGTTAGTGGTTGTCATGGTTACTGATTTGATTCCATCATTGTGTGTGTGTGTGTGTGTGTGTGTGTGTGTGTGTGTGTCAGTGTGTGTCATCAGACCCGTAACCAGCTATGAGGCCACCGAGGTCCGGACCTCTGTAAATTTTTCATGTTCAAAAATTAAATTTGTTCTTTGAATGACTAATTTGCTGTTAAACTCCTCATATGAATGCCTACATGACATGTATAATTCAGTTTAGACAGTTTGCAAGAATGTTTAGCATCCCTGGTATGAAATCGCTGCGAGACGCTGGCGGAGTGAACAAGTCTTGAGCGAGTTGTGAGTGAGGGCGCGGGCTCAGCGATATGCATGACAATCGCAGCTTCTGTCGAATCGCGATCTCGATTCCATTTCGATTTATCGTGCAGCCCTAGTCCCAACTGTGAACACTGAAAATCTCGCAAAATCTCTTGTGGTCCAATGTGACTTTAGAGTAACAAATGGTGGACGACGGACACGTTGGTCCTCTGGGTTCCCCCCACACAACAGGATTTCTGATCAGACCCGTAACCAGCTATGAGGCCACCGAGGTCCGGACCTCTGTAAATTTTTCATGTTCAAAAATTAAATTTGTTCTTTGAATGACTAATTTGCTGTTAAACTCCTCATATGAATGCCTACATGACATGTATAATTCAGTTTAGACAGTTTGCAAGAATGTTTAGCATCCCTGGTATGAAATCGCTGCGAGACGCTGGCGGAGTGAACAAGTCTTGAGCGAGTTGTGAGTGAGGGCGCGGGCTCAGCCTCCGTGTTGCCAAATCCAGCAATTACAAGCGTTTTTGGACTTGTCTTTAAAAAGGCCTATGGAATGTTAAAAAATTATGTTAGGTATCGGTATCGATACCGGGCTTGAAAATATTGGTATCGGATCAAAAATAAAATAAGAGATATCCCCTATCTCTAGTGTGGGCGCAGGACTCGGACTTGTCTTTTCCACTTAATTTAACACTTTAGAAAGTTAATAAAGTAGGAAGTTGCAGTTTAGAGTCGGCGATATCTTTATAGTATCTTATTTGCAAAAGATTGGAAATAATTTCGGTTTATTTTTAGTTTTTTGTTTGTTTTAGTATCAATATCTGGCAACACTGTATTGCCGGCACTTAAAGGAACACTCCACTATTTTTGAAAATAGGCTCATTTCCCAACTCCCCTAGAGTTAAACAGTTGAGTTTTACCGTTTTCGAATCCACTCAGGCGATCTCCGGGTCTTGCGGTAGCACTTTTAGCTGCAGCTTAGCATAGATCATTGAATCTGATTAGACCGTTAGAA